TATTTATTGGCTCATAGTTTTTGGGGTAGCAGGAGTGGCATCCACTTCCTAAACAACATGCCTCTGGAAACTATGAACTTTGATAAATGTCGATAATTAGAGAAAGACTTCAGGCCTTTTGTTCACAGGGTCACTATGAATCATGCTCGACTTGAAGGCAATCAACAGCATTTTTTTTGGAGATTAGAACTTGAAATCTGAGTATTAGAATAAGGGAAGAGTTCTTGCTGTCAGTAGCTCTGGGAGTTCTTTGATTTTCGTTGGCTCCTAGTAGCTCTATCTTCACATGATGCCTGCCTTTCCCCTGTGTATCACTGTTTATTCTGCTTTTTATTAGACACTACTCAGAAGGGATTAGGTTTAGGACATATCCTACTTCTATGTGTCCTCATTTAACATAAAAATTCCTAAACAAGATCCTATTCACAAGTATTAGGTTTAAGATTTTAACACACATATTTAGGAGTTACAGTTCAATCTATAGCACCTCCTGTGTATACCATATGACCTAGCAGTTCCACTCTCACATACCCAGGAGACTCGAGAGCAAGACATGTACACACATGTTCATAACAGTGTTGTTTATAATAGCCAACAAGTAGAAAGAGACCAAATGTTACTGGTGGATAAATGTGTGCCACATTTTATACAACAGAATATTTATTTTTATTATTATTATTATTATTATTCAGCTATAGGGCAGCTCTTGTGGCCTGGTGGGCAGGGTTGTACTGCCAACCCAAAGGCAGGTTCAAATCTACCAGCTGTTCTGTGGAAGAAAGATGTGCAGTCTCCTACTGTGCAGTTTATGAACTCTGAAAACCCGCTAGAGTATAAACTGTGAGTTGGTTCCATCTTCACAACACATAACAACAACTAACAATTTAAAAAGTATTAACTTCTGATACATTATGGATAACTCTTGAAAATATTATTGTTCTGCAGTGTTAAGTTTCAATTTACAACCATATGTATGCTAGAACAAAACACTTGGCATTCCTGCATCATCCAGAGTCTGAACACATTACTGTAACCATGTCATTAAGGGTCTTCCCTCAATGAAAGCATTATCCTGGATGTCATAGATCAGACACAAAAAGACATAGATTGCATGATCCCACTTACATGGAGTAATCTAGAATAAGCAAATTTATAGAAACAAAAGTTTTTGTTTTGTTGGTTTGAGTTTTTTGTTTGTGGTTTGTTTTGGGAGGGTTGGAGGGGCTTTGTTTTTAGTGGGAGTTTTTTATGTTTTGTAGAGGTTTTTTAGCATAACAAGTGAAAAGCTTTACTAAGGCAGTAAAACAGGCGTAGCTAGGAAAGCTGGACCATGCAAGAAGAGAGTTAAAGTGGAAAAGAAGCAAAGGGGAAGAGGGAAAGGACCCTGGAAAGACAGAGATGAACTCAAACCTTACAGCATGCTGTCAGCAGGAAAGGGGGACGGAGTTTTAATTAGTGGTTATCAATGGCTGAAGAGAAGGAGAGAATAGGAGTTATTGCTTCAGGAATACAGAGTATCTGTTTGTTGTTGATTGCCTTCAGTAGAGCAGGACTCAGTCACCCTATGAACAAAAGGCCTGAAACCCCTCTACAGTATCTGTTTAGGGTGATGTAAAACTTTGGGGTTGTGATGATGTTAACGTGTGAGGAATGTAATCACTGAATTATATATACGTTTATTGTTATTTTACACTGTTGAGTAGGAACCAATTTGTAGCTGACCCTCCAGCAAGTTTTCAAAGCCTGTAAATCACATAGTAGAAGATTCAATCCCTGTGACTTTGGATTGGCAGCTCAACTCCTTACCACTAACCCACCAGAACTCCTTATGTACATTTATGGATGGTTAAACTATTACATATACTTCTTGATAAAAAAGACATTGTTAAAAAAATAAAAAGGTATACCATAGACTGGTAGAAAATATTTGTTAATCTCTTATTTGATAAATAAGGGGCTTGTATATAGCTTATAAATGTCTCTTAAAACTCAGTAACTAAAAACCTTGTTAAAATGGGCAGAAGATTTAAACATGTTTCACAAAAAAATGATATATGAAGTTAACAGCAAATGCTGGCAAGGTTGTGGAGAGATTGGAAAAGGTCTTCACTACTGGTGGTAGTGTAAAATGGTTCAGCCATTATGGAATGCAGTTTGGTGCTTTCTCAAAAAGTTGAAAATAGAAATACCATCTGATCCAGCAATTGCACTGCTTGGAATATACCTTACAGAAACCAGAACCACTGTCCAAACAGATGTATGCACACCCATGCTTATTGCAGAGCTTTTCACAATAGCAAAGAGATGGAAACAACCTAAGTACCTATCAACAAATGAAAAATTATAATATATTCACACAATGGAATACTATACTATGCAGCACTGAAAAAATACATGACCTCGTAACAGATTACACAACATGAGTGACCCTGGAGAACATTATGCTGAGTGAAATGTCTTGGTTTCAAAAGGACAAATACTGCAAAACACCACTGTTAGGAAGCAGGACTGACATGAGAGGTTGGGAGACTAGGAAAAAAGTAGATAGATAATGAACACTATTGGAACAGATGAGGGAGAGGACTGTTTAAAAGGAATACATGATTTGGCATAATATGTTAAGACTGTAGTCCATAATAAGAGGTACATTGCAAAGAGCACTAATGGAGAGAGAGAGAGAGAAAGTGGGGGAGAGGGAGGAAATTGTGCAACAGTGAATGAATATTTTTTTAAAAAGAAAGTGAACTGGATGAGGGAGGAAAATGTGCAACAATCAGTGAATAAAAATAGTTTTCTGTAAACTTTCATTAAAATAAAATTTAAAACAAACAACCCCAAAAAGATAGATGAGTGGCAAATAGCACATTTAAATTTAACAATACTATGGGTTGATAGTGTGGAGGAATTGTAACTCTTAAAATATTGCTGATAGGAATATAAATTGGTATAGTCACTTTGCAAAACATTATAGCCAAAAAAGCACCAACACTATAGCCATTTTCTCATAAAGTTAAACATATATTTAACCTTAGTACTCAACATCCCCACTCATTGGCATTTAACCAATAGAAGTGAAAAGATGATCATATTAAACATTTGTGTGTGTGTGTGTGTGTGTGCGTGTACCGTCAAATCAGTTCTGACTGGTACAGGAGGAGATGGCCCCTCCTTCCCTGGCAGAGCACCTGGTGGATTCGAACCGTGCACCTCTGGGATTGTAGTTGCAGCTTCTTGCCACTAGGCCACCAGAGCTCCCC